TACTCTGTTGTATTTAAGAATGAACAAAAGGTATAATGACTCTGCAACATTTTAAATAAAAAACAATAAAATGTAGAAGTTCCTACCTGGGTTCCCCACTCTTGACCTTCCCTGTAGAGCCTGCCCTCTCACACCTCTTGTGTTTTGTATGAGTTCTTTATTAAGCCTCACTGATTCACCTAAAACAATACTTCTAAGTGCCTATGATGAGCCAGATTTATTCTAGGCACAGAGGCTAGTGCAGTAAATAAAACAATCAAAAACTTCTGCTCTAAGGGAGCTTATATTCCAGTTTGTGACATGTCTCCCCACTCTCCCACTAACTCTGCCCACTCGGTGGGCTCCTAAACAAGATCTCCATGGTGGAAATTGCCTGGAATCTACCTACTTCCTCTGACCATTCATCCGCCAACATCTGCCACAAGAGGACTCGGGGCTAATGCGCTTACCTATGCTTCTCTAGCACCTACCGTAACAGCTGGCACACAGAAGAAACTTAACTGCTTGATAAATAAGTTGATTATTAATTTATTAATAGTTTAAGTTTTAGGAATATAGGAGATTCATTTATGCAAAATGCTTAATCTCCTAGTAATCTCAAATCACTAAAGTATTATTGCATATCAGGTCCATTTTTATTAAACTAAGACAACAAACAACATATTAACAAAGAAAACAGTTCTCATCTCAATTTATACCTATTTAGCTAAAAGATTTTCAAGATATTAAACCATTAATTATTGCTTACACATTAAGTTTTACATTTTTTAAATGAAGCCCAAAACTGGCACACTCTCTTAATTCATGTCAGTAAGTTTAATATCACGCTGATGACTATAAATACATCTAAAAACCAGAACAAATACTAAACATGCCACTCTCATAATTTTCTTTTCTAGATGGTAAGAGCAAGCACTTTTTTTTTCAGGCAATCTAGCAAATAAACCAGATGTCTCTGCCCAAAATAAGTACAGTTCAAAAGTAGAAACGGCCCCGATTCCCCCACATCCAGTCCCAATGACTGGACTACTTCATATACAACAAAATCGGTCAAAATCAATTAAAACAATCAAGAAGTCAGCCAAATTTTCTCACTATGTCAAGCATCACTTGAAATAAACTGGTCATCAACAAAAGATTAGAACTATTTTCTTTATACAAATATTATTATTATAATCTTATTCCTTGTAAAAAAAATACATTATAAGAACACGCTTTTAATACATGTGAAAGTCTTTTAAACTGCTTTGCTTTACTTCACATCTTGCTAAAATAAGTCTATCAGTGAAGAGGACTAGGAGGTTACATAATACAAAGGCACCAGACCTAATCAGGTACTTGAAAACTTTCTGAGGGTGATTCTGGCACGAAGCATGGCTAAATATCACACTGTATTTTCACTTACATGTCCAAACTGGACAAGTTCCTTGCAGAAACTGCTTGCCTCCAAATGTAACCCTCCATTCCAATACTTAAAGTAACTTGAGCCCAGTAAACCTTTGATACCCCTGCGCTGTTCTCTCCCTTTAACCTCTTCAATTTCACTAACAGGCTTTACCTTGGGGGGTGATTGCTGCAATTTGTTGGCATTTCCTGCATGCTGCAGTCGTAGAGCCCGGGGGATAAATTCAGGTGCCAGTGGATTCAACACATATGTCTTCTTTAGTTCTAAAGCCTCTAGCTGAGCTTTGATCTGTTCAAAAGTGATTCCATGTAGGCTATTATTTTCATGACACAGGGCAATAAACCGCTCCCAAAATTTCCTACAGAAAAGATTCAGAAGATCAGTTTACAATTTCAGTGGACAAGATCACAGAAATAAATATTAACAACTAAAGATAATTTAGAGTTTCTTCCCCCACCCCAAATTCTTAGGCCCAATATTCATCTATGATTCAGGTATAATCTTCCCACTAGGTCACAAGATTTTTGGAAATTTGGTTCTGAAACTATAGTCATGGCTAATATTGTGGGACATACAAACTACGCTCTCAGTTAATTCTGACTGATCAATGGAAGTAACACGGTCGGTGTTCAACTATTCACACGAATCTAGAATGATGGTTTTTGTTACCCACACGATAAGGATTTCAAAACTGATAACTCATTTTATAGAAGATTTGTACTTCTAGGCATACTCATATACACACTTGTATGTATACATATATACATATATACACACACACATACACACACGTACATAAATTAAACTAATTCGAATTATGGGGCCAAAGCAGCCTGGTGCTAGATGACCAAGAGGAGCCAACTCAGGACATAAATATGAGCCACAAAGTAGACAATTCTTGTGAGGATTCTTAAGAAATAACTAGCTACTCCTATATTTTTATTTTCATTAACTGATGCTTATCATAAGCACAGCTTATAACTTTAATTGACTAAGTTAAATGAGTTAAATTATGAAAAATACAGGAAATTGGAATGCTCATTTTAATGATAATTATTCATCTCCTAATCAAATTAATAAATATTAAAGAAGAAAAATACATTCAAAATTGTTCCAATTATATACTGTTGTCCCTAAGAGTTTTGAAAACTGATCTCCAAATATTAAAAATATTAAATACGTATTACAGAGGACAACATATAAAAAGCTTCAAGATTTTAAGTGACTACTATAAATATGCATACCTATCTTTAATATGAGGTTCAAATAATGTTTTATTATGCTATAAAAGATATGTGATATGGTTTCTTCCCAAGTTGGTATCCTTGTGTCCAGGTGGACAGCAGGTAATCAAGATGGCTTCAAGAAGCATAAATGAAAAGGTTTATATTGTAAAAGTTAGTATATGAATGGGCATTGAGTTATTAATATATTCATAAAACTTTGCAGAGTTGAATTTCAAACTATGTTTCTCGTACACATGCTTTCTACCATCTTTTCTAATTTTTTAAAGATGACTTTAAGAAATGGGTCCAGGAAAAATTTCAGGCCTCTATGTCAATAACAGGAAAATAAAAATGCTATAAAATATTATCTATGTATTTCTGACAATAAGACATCAAGGCTAACAAGATAGTCATTCAGTTGCAGGAAGTGTGTGTTGCTAAGAAATTCACACTAAAAGCTGCTCTTCATTTTTATACTTAAGAACCTTCCTTAGGAGTCAAGTTTTTTTCCTCATAGTCTGATAGCTAAAGAAAGACTATCTTCAATATAGTACTCAGGACCTAAAATCCATAAACTTTCCCACACTTTTGATTTTAAAAACCCCATAATATTCAACTGTATGAATATTATCAACACAATTCGACTATAGGTTGTATTCAAAAGGAAGATTTTTTGGGGTCTAACTGATAAAGTATCAATTTCATGGAGTGGCATTTCATATTCGTGTTGAACTTTAAGACACAGCAAGGAAAGATTGGGTGGGCTTTACTCTAGCTCAGTTGTAGTATCAATTTCTTGTATTTTCATTTCCAGCTTACTAGCCAAAAATGCTAGAATTTGCTTTATCTTCAGGCTCTTTTTTGAACTTCATACCCTGTCCCTGTACTGCTCTCACTGACCTCAACTGCATAGAACACGATGTGTATCTGCGCACACACATATCTAACATCGAGCTAAGCATAAACTTTATAAACAACCCCACACGTCACAAGAAGCTGGTAACTTGGTGACAGTTTCTGTCTACAAGATCCTAGGGACCAAGGAAATAGCCTTTGAATTAAAGAACACCACCTGAGAAGTAACACTAAACACTTACTGTTAAGTCAATCAAGTTAAACTAATTCCAAAAGTAACCTGGAATCTCCACTTCAAAGCTCACTTGTCTTTTGATTCCCCACTGAACAGCAAAGCAGTCGAGCGCAGGGATACCAGAACTAGGCTGCCTGGGTTTCTGTCGCAGCTCTGTCGTTCAGGAGCTGTGTAACTCTGGGCAAGCTACTTAACCTCTCTTCAAACCTCAGTTTCCTCATGGGTAAAACAGGGCACCAACAGAATTATTATACTTCATCACTAAAAAGACTCTTATTTCTCACTTTCAAACTTTCAGAGAAATGTATTCTTTCCTTCAAAAATTCTTAAAGCTAAAAAGATTCTCGTTTTCTTTCTCCGTGAAGGCTCTTTCAAAGACTATTTCACACTGTCCTTGAACTCAATTCTTTAATGAAATACTACACATAGCATTATGAGGCATTTCAGAACACAACTGGAACATCACCTGAGAATTTCAACTACACTCTGAAGAATTCACCACTATAGTTATTTAAAGGCTTCACCAATTTTCAGCCCTTCCCTAAAATGTTAATGTTATGTTAACATTTTTTTTCTAGTAACGTTGGTTAAAGGACAATCAAAGTTTGGCTTTGTTTTAATGCTAACCTTATTTCTAGGATCACTGATAAAACATTGAAAAATCATTTGGTGTTCTTAGGTCATAGAGAGAGAAGGAGTGTGTGCACATACACACACGTCTCTACACATGTGAAATATGTTTATATCTCACTGAGTAAATGGAATCTGCTACTGAGGAAATTCAGTTCAAAATACCCTGATTTAGAGAAAGGCGTGACCACACCCTTCTGCCTCTGCTCCTTCAGGGCAGACTGATCCATGCATATGCATTATTTCCTGGGAAAGGCAGGGTAACCCAGTGAGGACAGCTTGGGTTTTGAAGTCAATCTCACATCTGCTGGAGTGAGCCACTTAATAGCTCTGCGGTCTTGGGCAGTAATTTAAACTCTCTGAATCAGGCTGCCCATTTAAAATGCAAATAAAATACCCATATTGCAGGGTTGTTAAAGCGACTGAACGAGGCAGTGTGCAAAGCACTTAACACACTTGGCACCTGGCACAGAGAAAGCTGTCGATAAACAGCAGCTACTAAATTAACGTTTGTTGGTTTGGCAAGTGGTGGGAGGGGAAGTTCCCCACATTCGTTTAGGGCTCATAGAAAAATTCTGTTTAAAAATACTTAAGTGCAAAAAAGATTATATAACTGGTTGCCTTCTAAACTGGTATAGTATACAAAGTAGTTATTCCTTGAAAAGTTAATCAATATCTGGAAATAATCATATTCATTTTTTATCAATATCAAATGAGGGCAGAGGGAGGGATTAACTTACACTACAAAGAATTCACTCCTTCATTATTATTGCACCTAAGAATCACATTATGTCCTTCAGGTTTACTTGTATTATGAGATTAATTTATAATGAAATTTTTGAAAGAGTAAAGCATAAATAGCCATACCAGCTCTTGGGTTAGAACCATGATTAAACTGTCCAAATCACATAGATAATCAGCATTCTCATTTAGCTACGGGTCACAGGATTTTCTCTCCCTACACAATGTATTTACCTCTCTGAAAATATTTTACTTAGCTCATAAATTAATTTGCAGTCCTTGACACACTCCAGCTGAGCAGTAAGAAATGAGCAACCAGCAGACCTGGCTTCCAGTTAAAAATTAGCCCTGGATAATTCTGACAGCATGGCCTCAGGAAAGAGCATTCACCTATTTGCTCTGAGAAAATAACAACTTATGTCACAGAAGGGGTAAAAGTGCTGACCTCATGCAATTCACAGTATAATATGACTCTATAGAAAGTGATAACGGTTTAAAAAAAAATTCATGTTGGTAAATGTTCGGAGTTGTTTATAAGGAGAGTCCAAAAGTAATGTGGCTCAAGACTACTGTTATACCTATTTATTCCTCCAATGGTTTCTAGTTGCTTTTAATACAATTCAACCTAGTTTATGTATGTGTTTTAATCTATTATATTCTAATCAAACTGTATGTGCTCTCACATTTATCAAATGATAAACAGAAACAAAAATGGTAAAATATCACAGCAATATTCTAACAAAGTATGTTTTCTAATGAATAGTAAAGTAACCAAAGTAAAATTCTCAGGGGGGAGCCAAATTAATATACTGAGCTTTATTCATTTGCAATGTGGAATTACTATATTCCCTTCTCCAACTTTTTGTCATTAGTGGTTAAAAATTAATGGAAGTCTGTTCTTTTAAATATGAAAGTAAGGATATTTTACAACAGAATTGTTTAGCCATATATAAACAAATCATGGACCATTCAAGTTTTACCATCTTAAAAAAAAGGCTATTTTTCATAATGCAACCATAAATTAGACTCCATTTGATTCCTTTGTTAATGGCTTTCCCCTATAAAAGGATATTAACTTATTTTGGAGTCTTAAAGTCTAATAAATGCAGCTTATTCTTAAAGGTCCCAAAAAATCTCCCATCCCATAGAAAACCTTTTTCCTGCTGAAACATAAAATAAAATGCTGCTGTATCTATACTAGCACAGAAAATTTGGTTTAAAAAGGCCACTTCTAATAGCTTTGTCTACTTTAATCCTAACACATCAAAAAGAAGTAATTACCTAAGGCATATTTGAGGCCATCTATATCTTCTACTTTTCTGAACTCACTTTGACAGGTACTAGAACCTTTATAAAATTTTAAATAATCTCTAGTGTATTTCTTCCTTTTTCATAAAGAACATAAATTTCTGGGGTTTTTTGTTGTTGTTAGTGCTAACACAGTTTTTTAATACTGCAAAAACCAAGTCTTATATTACTGGCTTCATATAGTTAAAATTCCTATTAACTAGTATAAATTGTAAGTGTACAAAGAGAAATTTTTTATACTGATATTTTAACATTCTTTATGACTACAATCTAAGGAATACTAACAATATTTTCCAAAGAAAAGTAACAACCCATTTCAACCCCCTTAATTTAAAAATCCTCTGGATTAACGAGACACAAAGAATTGTTTGCACTGAGAAGCCTTGAGAGAAAATGAGAAGGAAATTCATCAAAAACAAGCTAAAACAATAATGATGGGTAAAAAGGAGGGAAGTTGGATATAAAATTGAGTCTCCATCAGATATGCACATACACAAAACCACCTCCGGACCCTTGCACTAGCTGTTCCCTCTTTCTGGAGCACTTTTGCCCCAGACGCTCATAGCTTGCTCCCTCATCTCCAAAGTCGGCTTCCCAGTGAGGCCTACCCTGACCACACCATGTGCTGTCACAGCCTGGCCCACCCCACCCCCATCACTCCTAATCCCCCTTAATGTCCTATTTCTTTTCCATTGAACTTACCAAGTAAAATACTACAGAGTGTTTCTATTTTGTTTGTTGTCAGTCTTCCTCTCCTCTCCAATAAAAGTATTAAGCCCCACAAAGGCAGAGGTTTTTGTCTCTTTTGTTCACTGATGTAACCTCAGTGGCTAGGAGAGGGCTTAGGACATAGCAGGCACTCAGGAAATACGTGCTGAATGATGACTGACTGGGTGAATACACGATTATATATATGATAAACAGACGCAAAGCAATATACTGTTGTGGCTCCCACTGGATATGAGTTAAGATTAAACTCGATTTTACTTAGCCAAGAGGTCATATAGATAAACGTGTGCACAGGGATACAAATTACTCTCCTTTCCCGCCTTTAATGTCTCAAACTCTGACACACAATTACCTGCATCTTCCAATAGAGCACAGAGCAATGGGATCACCCACCACAGCAACCAGGGATTGTGCTCTGGTGATGGCAGTATTCAGAAGTTTGTAGTTAGATAAAAAACCATAATCTAAGTCCTCTGTGGAATCTTCCAGCAGTTGCTCTTTCTTTTTAATTGGTGTCTGTTTATGTTTACAAGTATGCCTTGTACGTACTGTGCTAAGAAACAAAACTCTGAACTGCTTTCCTGTAAAAAAAATAAATAAATAAAAGATGATTGTTATTCTGAACCACTGAGATAATAAAAGCATTTCATTTTTTAAAATGTTATTGCTAAATAATACATGCTGATGAGGATGTGGAGAAATTGGAACTCTTGTACACTGTAGGTGGAAGCGTAAAATGATATGTAAAACGCTATGGAAAATAATATGGCAGTTTCTAAAAAAAATTAAGCACAGAATTAACATATGATGCAGCAATTCCACTTCTGGATATATACCCAAAAGAACTGAAAGCAGGGACTCAAATGGATATTTACACACTCGTGTTCATAGCAGCATTAATCACAACAGCCAAAAGGAGGAAGCAACCCAAGTGTCCACCGACAGATGACCAAATCAACAAAATGTGGTCTCTACGTGCAATGGAATATTAGTCATTCTTAAAAGAAAGGAACTCTAACACATGCTACA